AGAGAAAACACCAAAATGAAAAAATCTAATCCATCTCATTTACCGACGAACATTTCTACTAAAGACCAGGCAAAAAGTGGGGGGAAAATATTCTGCACCCCGTGCAACTGTGTGTTGGAGCCATAGACTGTATATTGGTTGGAGCATAAGAGAAAATCGACGGTGAGCATCAACCTCCAAAACGCTTTCGAGGGCTAAAAGAAACGAAGTGAGTAGCTTACAAGATTGAAGCTGGTCAGATAACGAACGAGTAAATGAAAACAGAATGAGGCGGAGAAGTGTGTGTGTGTGTGTGTGTGTGTGTGTGTGTGTGTGTGTGTGTGTGTGTGTGTGTGTGTGTGTGTGTGTGTGTGTGTGAGATTAAAATAGCCCAATTGCTTTTACAATAAATAAACATTGAATGTGTTTAATTGAATAGTAAAGGGGTTTAACGTTAGTGGCAGGGTGTGTGTGAGAGAGAATAAATAAGACAGCCCAATATTTAAAAAAATTGTTATTCTTTTTCCCCGCATATTTAGCATATTTCGCAACTTTCTGCATATTTCGCAACTTCCCGCAATTTCACCGCATAAAATCACATAAAAACCCCGCATGTTTAATCGCATAATCAAGGAATTCAGCCCGCATAATCAAGGATTTTTGCCCGCGTTTTTCTGGAGGGTCTATACTCATGACATGATACTCACTGCCCCAGAAGAGTGCTCCCCCCAGATGAAACAGTTGAGAACGAAGCAGATTCCAAAAACCACGGCGGGATACAGAGTTGCTGTCTGCAGGGAGACAAAACAAATACAACCTCAGCCTTTCTGTTCACACCTCATATTTACACATTAAAGGTTATATAGTTAGGTTACTATTGGCTTACACAAAAGGCTCCTTTCCTCCACCGATGGCCCTTCAGTGTGCGGTACAGTCTTCCAGCAAAGTAGCCCCCAAACACACTGCAGGAGGAACATCCAAAGCAGAGTCAATCAAATAAATACACTTTTTAAAAAACACACTAGCTTTCATTTTCTGGGATTTTTCTTTATGGGGATGGGAAAGATGAACATGGCCCTTACCCCATGAACATGAAGAGGAAGCAAGCAGTGGTCATCAGGGCTCCTCTACTGGAGGGGGACAGCATGCCCAACATGGCAACAACTATGACAAACACACAGAAACACATGGTGGTTACAACATGTCAAAGATTACACTGACTGTCATAATGTGTTACCCAAATTCATCTGAATATTTCAGTTTTTAGAGGTCAAAAAGTAACAGCTGGAGCTCTTTCTCATGTGGTTTTCTGGCAACTTTACCATGACGACAAGTCTCCAGGAAGATGGCCAGGAATAATGTTGAGTCTCACATTGTGTACTTCTGTATCTACACAATTGTTAAAATGCACTGAGTACCTGTATTGTGCTCTAATAGCACTTAAGAAAATTAAGCGGGAAACGCTACACACTTCTCACACTCAATGACCGCCATCTTGGCTTCTTAACATCCAGCTGCGATTGGGGTTTCTTCGGTTAACACAGGGGTCGGGAACCCGCGGCCCTCGGGCCGCATGCGGCCCTTTAAGCCCTCTGCTCTGGCTCCCTTGACTTTAGACAAAAATAAGAAGGAAATAAAATAAAAGTATTTGTAGGACTATTTATTTTTTGTTGCATGGTTGAAAATGTTTCGTATCTTGTATTTTGAGGTGATACTGTGACACATAAATAAAAAACAAAACGGTTTTAATTAGGTCAACTAAAATATGCGTCACATCCTGCTACGGTCCCGCGCGAGCACCTTTTCTTGGAGGCGAATAACCTGACCCCCGGCTCGATGAGCAAACTATCGATAAATCAAAGAAAAGTACCGGAGGAACACAGGATTTAATTCTGTGTGGACAGAGTTATATGGTTTCACAGCAAACGATGCTGGTTTACCGGTATGTTTGATATTTAGAGAGAAGTTGTCAAAGGTGCTGCAGCCTTTACGTGTCGAGGAACAACACGGGAGAGGAAGACAGCTGACGATCTTCAGTCATAATTCAATGGGGTATGTAATTTATTTCAGAAAACACTTTTTGTTATATTCCATGGAATGCTCTTAACGTCCCGATAGCAATGAATATATTAAATGCTTTGACAATAAATACATAAACAAATTAATCTCTGGAAGCCGTAGCGCTGTAAAAAGCACGACCAATCATCTGAGCCGGCCCGGCCTGTCAGCCTTCCATCTGTGCACAAACTTATCTCGTGCCCTCATTGGTCATGTGTGTGTTGGAGGAGGGGCTCTGTAAGGAAGTCTGAAGGAAGAGGCAGATTTTTTCCGGTTGTGTATTTTCTAATTCTAGCGCACACGAGCTGGTTTCTCCATTCTTACCTACCCTACCTTTAACTCGTTTTAGGGTGCAGCTATATGTTTTATGTATTTCAAAGTGGGCCCATTTTAATTATATTTTTCTTCCTTCAAATGTGCAGAGGACTCCCCTGTGCTGTGTTTAATTTATTTTAAAT